TCTTTTCTGTCATTGACAGAATTTGTCTAATTGACCTAGACAAATTAATTCTTCATACCTTTACTCTTGTAAGATGAATAAACAGACACACCAGTGTCCCAAACTGAAAATGAAATATTTATAGCCTAGTAAAAGGGTTGAGTAATGGAATATTGAAGTTTCATACACTGTTAGCTCAGTTTTATGAAGAGTTTTGAAGTTTCTTCATCCTTTTGTTCAACTTTTGTTTGACTGCTTTCATAGCGGCAGATTATTAGATCACCTTAGATTACTAGTTTATATTATACAGAATAAATAATTTGAAAATATTACTAAATAATCATCATTGTTAAGAGTCAGTTAAGCAATTATAAACTTTCTTTTACATCACATACCAGTCAGTATGAAATATTTGAATCTTTACTGTGCCCTAAGATTTAACTGTTAAAAATGACATTAACTCTTGACTAAATGTAAATAGTTAATGATTACATAGGATTCTGTGTTTTCCTTTCCTGACTACTTACTGTTAGCGTGTGCTCACACAGTCATTCTTCACTTCTAATCTCATTTAAGATGACGTCTGTGATCTCAATAAGATCATATGGATTTTAAGGAGAAATTTTAATACCTCTTTAATGAAAGCCTAAAAAACATTGCTTCTGTTTCACTGCATAGGTCTGAGAAAGAATTTTTTTTGGCAAAACTCTTAGCTCTCCTTTCCCATCAATGAACATGTGTGGATGAGGAATTTTCTGAGTTAGAGGCATGGAAAATGCTGACAGCTTGGCAGCAGTTTTGAGTTTTTCAATAAAATGATAACTCCTTTTGTTCTGTTCCAAGAAGCAGCTTCTAAAACGCTGCTCTGAATCTTGCATTTAAGGATCCTAGGAGCTCTAGCTTTCCCTCTATTTGGTGTAATGTAGATAACAAATGTGATAATGGAATTACAAGCTCACAGGACATTTTGTGTAGTCTTGGTATTGACCTAAGTAGCTTTTCATCAGAATCAAGTTTTATTTTGTAAACTTGGAGATGAAGTTGCTTTTGGAATTTGCAAAACCATTGCAAATTTAATCATAGAATACTACGCTGTGCAAATAGAGGGGAAAGTGAAACTAAGTAAAATATTAATAGACAAATATACAGCTGACAGATTTTTAGTTAGATTTGATTTTAAGCAGATAGTTGGAATCAATGGAGAAGCACTGTCTTTAACTTGGAACAGCATAAATGGTCAATCGGGATACTTAGAGAACTTCTTTACTGGTACAAAATGTGTTGCCTTCCAGAGTTGTTGCCATATTTTATTACTGAATAGTTGTAAAGCATTTTAAGAACTTAAAGCTTTTAGACCGGTGAAAAGCATTTTATTATTGTTATTTTTCATTTGAAATGTTAATTAAAGGCAACAGAACAAAATAATTTGTTTCAGTTTGCTGGTCAAACTTCTTTATTGTATTAATCATTATATTAAAAATATTATTTTACGTTAAAATACAGTGCTTTGCAGACAAGGTTTATTCAGTTCACCTTGGTTGAAGATGGCACTGAAAATGAAGCTTGGTTTGGGTTTTTTGCGAGTCACATACAAAAAGTCACATGCAAGTCATGCAAGTCACAAAGAAAAACTTACTCGGATAAAAGAGTTTCCTGGCAAAACATTTCAAAGCTGGTATCTACCATCAAAATACTTATTCAAGTTTTTGCAACTCCAAAGGGAGGGATACATCTTTCCAAAGTTAGATTTGACATCCTGGCTCTATACTCAATGGAAGACATAGATGCTGAAGAACATTATCACCTAACTTGGGCACCTGCTTTGACTCACCTGGATTGAATGTATTTATTTTTCTTTACTGATTACAGGAGAAAACTTGCCTTCACCAATGGCTGAGTTTTAGGTGGATTAACTGTGGTTAGATGAGTCCTATCATTTTTCTTCTAAACTTCTGGGTAAAAAAAGGGGAGCTGATCAGAGCTGGGGGTCTGATCCTAAGCCAAAATTCTGGCGTATGAAATGTGTGATGCTTCTGACAGTTCTGGAAAAGCTGTTTCACTATATTGTTTATGTGAGGTTTGCAGTCGCAGACTAAGGGATTATTGATGGTTTACTAATGAAATATATAACTCGTATGTAATTCTGATTTGTATTTTTGAAGATCATTAATTGTTTGCATGTTTGTAATTGTTAGCTATCATGCTGTGAGGAATATGTAAGTCTCTACACCTAAGATACACTAAAGTAATACTTCTTTACTGTAAGACTGAGAAGTGTGTTGAATTAGCCTAGGTTAAATACAATGCAATGCCTTCATTACACATAACATCACTCAAGTGGATCTAGTTTGCAGTATGTTTTTAAAGTTCAATTCAGTTCAGTAACAGTCCAGACCTGAAATATTTAATATCTACTCTTAATGGAGATAGAAAAAAACCTAGAAAAAGTACCAGACAAAACCCTCTGATAAATTATGTTGTACTGGAAAATTACAGTTCCTTGAAATGTTTCTGTTCCCCTTGCTTACTTTTACACAGTTTTGTCTATTCAGTAATCTGCTATGCTAGCAAAGTATTTCTTTCTCTTAAAAAGTAATGCTGAACTCCAGTGTAAAATGTTTCTAGTTTCTTGTCAGACAGCACTGGTAAACTCACAAAAGACCCCAAATCAGGTGTTTTCAGGGCTCGCTTGACTCTGTGTTCTCTTGAGTGAAAACCAGAAAGAATATTTTATTGATTCTTTTGCATGGGTACTTTGTGTGTTGTGCTAAGAAAGATAACAACAAGGATAGAAATATTCTGCAGGACAGCTTTCTATTAGGCTTTTTAAAAGCACAGCTCCAGCTTAGAATATATTCAGATGCCACTATTTAAACTTTTGGGTGACTACTGACATATTGCGAACTACAAATTTTAATGAAGATTTATGTTTTTCACTGAGCATACTACTTCATTTGAAATTTAATTGCAAAGTGTGATGTTCTTTATTCCATTCATGGTTAATGTAATACTATCAAGCCAGTTTATTAAAAGATTGCTGTTTTTCAACATCTTCTTAGGTAACACAAGTATTTTCTATTTGATTTAAGCATGTATAAAAAATACTAGAATGTATTGACTAGAGTGTACAAGTCAAGTTTCTGTTCTTAACTCGATGTTCAACACAAGCTGGAGCTGGAAGTGAGGTGGAGTTAACAGGAAAAATACAGCTACCAGTGGAGCCACACCTGAGTGTTTCATGTTCATTTGTGTAAACTCATCTTAGGTCACCCATCAGACTGTGGCCTATGTTGGTTTATCCTGAATATATTGTCTGCAGCATTACCTGCAGCTGAAACCTCCTGGCAGACAAAAGGTTTTCTAAGTACAGTTTGTGGCCTGAAGTGAAATAACTTTGTGGACTGAACCCAGTTTCTGGGAACTTCATTACGAAAGTTCCTTCCTAGAAGGTGTGAGTTAAGAGCCAAGAAGGCTCTTCTGGTCCCTCTGAACAGCGCAGAAGCACATGAATGAAACAGGATAGCCATATATTCCTCTATTGCCATGCTACACGTTCATTTGTGGGTTACAAATATAAAAGTATATTTTTTTCATGCATTTCAAATTCATGCATTTCAAATTTTAAAAAAAAAAAAAAAGAAATATTTTGCCATTTAACAACAGAATTATATACCTCTTTCTTAGATTAAACATTTACAAGCATTATCCTAAATAAATAAATGGAAAGTCTCATTTTAGGAAATCCATTTTGTCTTGCCATCCAAAACATTGGACTAGTTTATGCTTGCTCTTTCTGCAGTTACACAATTCATATTTGTCACAAACGTGAAAAAGAAAGAAGGCAACTGGATTTTCCCAAAAATTCAGCAATGTCAGTTTTCCAAAACTCTTATGTGGTAGCCCTACATCCTTTCTTTTCCTTTCTGTATATGAGGTAAGGAGGAAAAAATAGCTCTGTAGATATTTCATCCTCTCTGTCACTGGTATCTTTCTGATGAGAGACTTACTCAAATCTAACTGACACTGGCAATCTATGCTGATTGTGCTGAAATATATGAACATATATAGATAAAATATACATGCAGACTTATGCTATGCAATATATATAATGAAATGAGTATAAAATCTAGACCACATGCAGAGGGCATTAAAAAATCTATATATTCCATATATTTGTATCTGAACATATGGTATATCTGCTACTAAGACTTTTTACCTCTAATCAAATTGACTAATTCTAAATGATCTTTGGGAAAAAAGTCAATGAGACAGACTAGGAAAAAAAAAGTCTTTTTTTGTAAATGTTCACATCCAAGACAGATACTAGCCTACAGTTTTTACAGAACAAATTTTAGGACGAGCAATAAAAGGAAAAAAATGGGCTGCTTTAAATAATTCTGTCTGTAACCACCCTTTAAATCACTGGTTACAATTTTTAAACCATAGCTCTGAGGTCAACAGTGGCTGTGTTTGTATTAGTTTTTTTCATTTGGATCAGGACTGTGCTTTGAAATGAATTTCTGGATCACGTGCACTCATCATGCTTTGGTTCACATCACTGAGTGGTCTTGGAGTACACAAGCTGTATTCCTTTTGGATGAAACTAAATTGGAAAATGTGCTACAGGAGTGCAGTTTATGTACTTCAGCATGTAGTGCTCAATCTGCATATGGGACCAATTTAGGACTAGTCGAGGTTAAGACCTCTGAAACGCATGTGTTGTGCACTAACTGTTAAACTCTACAGTTCTGTTCTTATTGCATTGCAGTACTTGCTGGTATGGCATGAATTGAACAAATGAATTTTTGTCTGAGACAGGACCTCTGCTTTTCTTCCAGACTTTGTCTCTTTCCTCTGCCGCATAAGTTTCATGGGATTTTCACATTCAGGAACTCCCAAGTTTATTAAAACAAGAAAAATCAATGTAGGATGGAAGCACAGAAACAACTTATTGAAGTGTGAATATAGATGTTGTGGCAGAAAACATTAAATCTAACAAAACTTTATTTATATTTTTCCAGGAAAGAACAGTAACAATTAGAAGACAGACTATAGGAGGATTTGGATTAAGTATAAAGGTAGGATGAGTATTTTGGTCTATTATTCCACGTTACACAAAAAGGGTCTTTGTATATAGTTAACGTTATTTTTAATGAGGACGAACTATATTTTAGAGGACTAGAAACAAGAGAGCAAACATATTCTAGGATGTTAGATACTGTCACAGTAGGCAACCAGCAACTACATCGCCATATGGAATGGAAGGCAATGGAAAGATCATTCCCTTAAGATTCAATCTGAGCAAGCCTGTAATAAGATTTGATATGAGAGTTGAAAAGTGTTTGCAACTGCACAGACTGTACTTTTGTTCAACAGCACTTAATTTAAGTTGGTTATTAATGAATGCTAAATTACAGTGTCAGGCACACCCCCCAGCCAATAAGTTCATCATCAATTCTCCTACAAAGAATATCACATTAATTCACTGCAATTCATTAGTATAATACAGAAAGTGTTATTGCTTTCTCATATTGTTTATTTTACTATAGATCAAGCAAAGGCAGCAATTTATCATGTTACCATATTTTTGCTTTCTCCAGTAAGATTTAAGAACATATGTAAGTGTAGGTGATCCTTTTTGAGGGAGGGAGGGATGAGGAGAGGGAGGAAGGGCTAATCATTTTTGTCATCATAATCTATGATTTCTGAAAACCTCACCTTAGCTTTGAATTTCAGTGTAGACAACACAACAGTCATTTTATCTTCTAAACACAGCAATCCTCAGTCTCAAGATAGCAATGGAAAAAGTGAAGTGTACTTCACATGAATGCAGAAAGGCTTAAATTATGCATATAAAGAGAAAGTATAGACCTTCCTGTGAACATCTGCTAGTACTGACCTTATAAGAAGTGCCTCAGAAGAGGGATTAATGTACGTTTGTGTTGTCAATGATAAGAATATTGCTGAATAGAAATACTAGTTCTTAAAATATGTCTTGGTACTCTTGCTGCTATCTTGTTGACCCACTAAAGACCTCTATTGAAGGAAAACTAATTGCTATTTTGTGGCCAAAGTTTCTCATGAGCTTAGTCAACAGCACACAAGTAATTTTCCTCCAATATCATTATAGGTTACAGTTCACTGAATAATGATGAAGTAATGTGTGTCAGTATGAAATCAAGTATATGGGTGAATGAGGTTTTATTTAGCTGGTGCTAAGAAACAGCTGGTTACAGTAAGGACTTTTGGTTTGGAGAGCAAATCTCATCAAGAGTCACTACAACTGATTTTTTAGTTATACATTACAATGGGTTATCTTTTAGAATTAAAATTACTGACAAACTCAAGATCACATTATTTAATTTTCAGTTACATTGTTTAAAATAAAATATTGAGAAATATAAACTAAATAGTGAATGTGCAATAGTCTTTCTTAAATTAGTGGAGCAAAATATTCTTAAATTTTTAGAACAACATATCCATTGTTCTGAAGAAAATTCTTGGAAGTTGCAAAAGTATTTAGAAGTGCCAAAACATATTGTGAATTCAGCCTAGAAGGGAATTTATCTTTTTTTTTTCTGAATAAGATCCTGTTTCAATAGAAAAAAATAACAATAAAAAAATATGAAGTGTATTAGAAACAACTGCAATAGAATTTACAAATAAAGACTTTAAATTAAATTATTTTATTTAAACATATTTTCTAGGTTTATTTTATTACATAGATATTTCGATCAAAATTAATCTAAGTATTGGACAGGTGAAGCCACATAAATTCAGGCATGAACAGACGATCTCTTTTTAATTTTTGGAATAACTAACAATTAGGTGATGGAATCCCTTCAACAGATGTCATTAAATAGAAAAGAGATCTCTTTCAACAAAGGAAACTCAAGCTTACTTGGATGGTATAGATTAGATAATGAAAATGGTGAGTAGAAGTCTATGGTCTGGGATATTCTGTCGATGTGTATCAAGCAGTATGATTTATTTTTTTTAAATGATTTATTTTTAAAAATCAATGAACATGGGACCTCTTTTGCTAGGTACCTTTATTAGTAATCCTACATTCTCAAAAAGAAAGACTGAGAAGAAATTGGATAGCCAACACAATCTAAAACAAATAATTATTCAATATAATATGCTATTATCATTTTAAGCTAGTAGTAAGAAACAACTTAGAACGGGAACATAAAGTAATGTTTTTTAGATTTTGGTAGGCAAATTTTATGTAGACCCACTGAAATGGACTTTTTAGGTATGCTGTGAAGTGAATGTCAGTTTTCCAAATATGCTGAAAAGTGTCGTCAGTTCCAAATAAGCTGAAAAGTGTCAGTTTTCTGTTTTAAAAGGTACTATGCAATCATGGTACACTTCCTCTTGCAGATGAATAACAGTTTGTTACTTTGTTTTGTTTTGTTTTGTTTTGTTAGATTCCTGAACTTCAATAAAGGACTTGTATTTATTATTAGTTTTAAATATAAAAGTAATTATTTTGTGATAGTGCCTTGAAGCAGAGCTCTACAAGTCACCCTGGAGGAGTGAGCAGGACTGAGGCCTTTCCTCTTTGTGTCAGTAACTCTATCTCCCACAACCCCATGTACTACCGTAGTTCCTGTTGTCTTGCTACTCTCAGATTATTTAAAGATGGGTGTTATTTGAGGACTTACTTTCTGCCAGTGGTGTATATCAGAGGATGCAGTTTTATCTGAGATGTGAGTTATAGCAGTACAGTGATTAATGACCCTCACTTTAAAATATTTCCTTGTGCTTTGATATGAATTTGTCTAGTTTTGGCATTCAGCTCTAGGGCATTATCGTGCCTTTTTTTCTACTTAAACACCCATTTGCTGCCAGAAATCTCACATGGTCAAATCACCTTTTAACTTTCTCTTGAGTAAATTTTGGAAGTGTCTTATCCCGCCTTAATTATTCTGGACCCTTGGATTTTTTTTTTTTTCCCCTGAAGAACAGAAGGTCAAAATGTTAGTAATTCTGAAATGAAACTGTCTAGCTATCTTTTGGTGACTTGTCTATGAGGAGAACTCTCTTCTTTTGTGTTATAACCTGGGTGCTCCAACTATATTTGTAAAAAATCAGAGATTCAGCTAACTGCTTAAAAAAACCTGCTTGTGAGATTGATATTTACACAAGATCCAAACTTAAGCCCTTCAAAAAATTGCTTATAATCCACTCTTTGAAGGTTTGAAAGAACAAAAAAACCCCTGTTTTGTGTTTTGCTGTACTTCATTTTACTGATTAGTGGTAGAAGTGTGATTGAATTTGAAGCAGAACTGATCTGTTTTACACTCTTCAGAAGGAATTATTTTCTAATTTCTGAAGTCCCTTTAGAACCCTCAGTAATAAACCTCTGTGTGTGAAGGAATAGCCGTGGAGTTAGATGTTGAAATTGATAAGTGTAGTGTAGTATATCAGTCATTTATCACACCTCTGACAAGTTTGAGATGCAGAAATTTGACACAAGAAGCTGCTAAGTGTATGACTTCTGAAAGAACATCATGTTTCTCAATAACTGGAGTGTAGTGTTCTTGCGGAAATAGGCAATAAAATTGATAGTTCATCAAATAAATTAAGGTTTGCAGTTACAGTCTGACTCCTGGCTACCAGGACTCTGTACAGTGCCATTTTCCTGCCTCTGTTTTGAGCATTCTTTTTAAATGATGAACACCATTGCAGATCTGCTGAGATTTGGTTTGACTTTTCAAAGTTTGACTCGATCAAAAAACCTCTAAAGCAAGCCTGTGCACCTGTCCTGCTCACACTTATGTACATATTTAGATGATTCTCTTCCTCTTCCTCCATTCTGTGATTTTTTTAACACATTTTCTCTGTGTTTCAAATTGAAATGATAAAAAAAAAAATAAAAAGGCTAGAAAGCTTTAATTAATAGATGAATCATCTAGCTTTTAGTTTCAAAATTTATCTTTTCATCTTTAAAGCCTTGTGTACTTGCAGAAGTTGGTGTTGAATTTATTTTGGAAGTGGCATTTTGGTTCCAGCTATGCTATTCTATTGAAAAGAAATGTTTAAAAGTGCCAATTAACATTGGCACATTATTGTCCATATTGTTTCATTGCTAGCATGATTCCTGGCACAGTTTTGGCTTACACCAACTAGTATTCTCTAAGACAGTCCGTGGACATAGTTCAGGGCTTTACATGGACTGCTTCCAATAGGCAACATGCATAAAGTCACCCTTTCTCAGTTGGGAAGACAGCTTATCCTCATAGACATGAGCCTTATTGTGCCACTAGACCTTAAAGCGAAAACAAACAGGCCCATTTTCGTTAGTGGAATAAATGTTGCCTTTTAGTATGAAATAAAAATGTCCCCTACATTGTCTAACCCTGAGGATGTTAAAGTCCAACAATTGGTCTAATTTTTTATAGAATCCCTCTGCTTAGAAAAACAAAATAGTAATTTTCTTATTATAGAATCATAGAATCATAGAATCATTAAGGTTGGAAAAGACCTCTAACATCGAGTCCAACCGTCACCCCAACACCACCATGCCCACTAAACCATGTCCCTAAGTGCCTCATCTACACGTCTTTTAAATACCTCCAGGGATGGGGACTCCACCACTTCCCTGGGCAGCCTGGTCCAATGTTTAACCACGCTTTCAGTAAAGACATTTTTCCTCATGTCCAATCTAAACCTCCCCTGGCACAACTGGAGGCCATTTCCTCTCGTCCTATCGCTAGTTACTTGGGAGAAGAGACTGACACCCACCTCGCTACAACCTCCTTTCAGGTAGTTGTAGAGAGCGATGAGGTCTCCCCTCAGCCTCCGTTTCTCCAGGCTAAACAACCCCAGTTCCCTCAGCCGCTCCTCACAAGACTTGTTCTCCAGACCCTTCACCAGCCTCATTGCCCTTCTCTGGACACGCTCTAACACCTCGATGTCCTTCTTGTAGTGAGGGGCCCAAAACTGAACACAGTAGTCGAGGTGCGGCCTCACCAGGGCCGAGTACAGGGGCACGATCACTTCCCTACTCCTGCTGGCCACACTATTTCTGATACAGGCCAGGATGCCATTGGCCTTCTTGGCCACCTGGGCACACTGCTGGCTCATGTTCAGCTGGCTGTCAAAGAGCTTGGAGCCAAACACAAAAACAGCATTTGTCAATAAAAGTTACTAGTTTCAGTTGCCCTATTTTTCACATGACTAAAACTTCAGAAAAAAACCTCATACATAAAAACTGGAATAAGAAAAAATCTTTAGAACTATATCATGCAACACTTTGAAAGGAGGTGTGGGTGACCTCCCACCAGTAGTGGCCAACATCCAGCACAGTGAACTTCAAACAACTGCCAGTGATTAGAGTTTCCTCTACCTCTTCTAGCAGGACCACCTCTGCAGGTGGGCAGCTACCTTTATTTCAGGCTTATCCTTGCCTGCTTAAGGAAAAATGACAAAGAAAATTTGCATTACAAAGATCGGTGTTAGAGTCTGGTAGAAGTCTGAGCCCTTAAGACATCAACACCATTACTTGACTTATTTTTGTTCCCTCCTCTGGTCTGAGGTGGTAACTACCTGTCCACACTAGAGGGAGGGAAAATTTAAAACAGTGGAAAAGTGGCCTCTGTTCCTAGCGGTTTCTTCAGTAGAGTATCTCCTGAGCCTATAAAACCAGAATTTAGACACACATACACTTTTTCTTCTACAGGACAGACAATCAAGTATGAAGGATGCAGGATGCAAGGCTGCAGTGTCAATCTGAAGTAGTATTCAGCAAGATGCTGCAGACTATATACAGCTTTTTTAGCCAGCTGCAAATTGCTGAGGATAACTGGGTATAGATAGGTGGTCAACGATTTTCTCTTTCCCATTTTGAGTTTTTGTTTCTTAGAATAACGGGCAACACCTCCTATGACTAATTTAAAAGGAATCCTTCTTACTGGCCAGACTGGGATGCGGTGAGAGATCATTTTCTTCAGTAGGACATTGCTGAATGCTTCTTCAAATCTGCAGTGTAAATGGATTTAGGTAGATACAGTGAGTGAGAGAGGAATAATCATGTTGTGTTCATTGCAGGCTGGCTTAGTAATAACAGTAATTTCCCTCTTTACTGGAGAGCTGAGTCTAAGGAGGGAGGGAGGCCATTTTACTGAGAAAAAAGAACCTATGTTAGCTATGCTGATCTTTAAATCCTACACTCCTTCGCTGAGCTTCAAATGTCCTGGATTGTGCAATCTCTGTGTAACGTTGGAGGCTTAAGAAGGGAACTGACATAATTATTTTTCTGTTTGTTTAAAAATTCTGGAAGAAATTAAATGTGCATGTGACTAAGGAAAAATCTGGAGGCTGTAGGTTAAGTCTTATAAATTTAGTGAGCTTGAACTGATTATCTTAAGTGAAGCCAACTTTTATTATTGCTGTTCCTCTGGTGAAAACCACAGAAAGATATTCAACAAGTTATAATGCTACAATTTATTTAGTTTGAATACATCTCTAAGCCTGACTGAAATGAAGGTAGCCTCATGGTCTTTGTGGAGTGAATACTCAGTCCGTGCTACAAATACCAATACGTTCTGTGCTTGTCAACACTCATCTAGTGCAATGCCAATAGAACTTTTCTTGTAGACATATAATTGTTGTAATATTACTGAGATCCCTATTAACTCAGTGTTTTTAGGACCATTTACATTGATAGCCACTAGCAGAAGGAACTTTAATCCTATTTAAAATTCTATGGTTTCACAGGAAATTAATCTTTATTCCACAACAGAAATAGCTGTTGAGTGCAGGAGTCTGTTCAGTTTCAAACAATTGGTTGTTGCATTAAGAAGGGATATGTACTGTTCCTTACACCGTCAAAATAGCCATGTCAGTCCTTTCCACACCTCGACACTGGATGCCTGGACCGAAGAAAGCCATTGTTTCCAAACAAAAATCTGGCTGCTGAAGAGAAGAGTAAGCAAACCCTTACCCAGAATTCCTAGGCAAAATAGCAGTGTGGTAGACTCTCATTTCTGATGATCTGAATTTGTACAGGTTACATTCAGGCTTACACTTTGATGCTCTCTACAGAGGAAAAAATATTTGTGTCTCTGTGTACATTTGCCTTTCTCTCCCTTTGAGTTTCCTTTTTATTTAAGGTTTCTTTTTAATACTTTATTCTTAAGCACCATGAATGTTTCCAGTCCCAACAGGATGAATTGAATGAAGCAAAAGCATTGAATTGCTGTTGAACTGTTGAATTACCGTCCAGCTTTCCTTTATTTCCCCCCATTTATTGAACACCTACTGTTCCATTTCTTAATATTTCTTTTTCTGTTCCTTGTTACTTATCCCACTGCTTTGCTCACTCTTTGTGCTTGTGTGACAGAGACGGAAACAAATAAAGGCTGCCTTTGAGATGAAAGTCCAAACTTGCTTTTCTTGGTCTTTTGTTTACCTGTTTCTTGCCAGCATGAAACCTAAGTGGTCACAGCGTGGCTGCCATTGTAGTGTGATGGCTATTTTGCTTTTGCAGGACACGATTTCGTACATTAAGCTCTCCAGAATTCACAGAAACTGATGTCCCTTTTCTTCAAGACTCGTAGAGTTTTGAACAACATTCAGTTCACTTTCTGAGTTGGTGATGGCAACTGAGAACTTCTTTATGAGAGGCAATAAGGAATTAATCCCAATCAAATTTTTATTTAAAAAAAAAACAAAAGAGGAAATGCAGAATCAGAGTTATTTTCTTAGTCTCTCTGAAAACTGTAGTTAGAGAAAGGGTAAAATATAATTTTAAACAAAAAGATATTTCCAGTGACTGACAAGATTGCCATTTATTCTGTTTTCAGGGTGGAGCAGAACATAGTATTCCAGTGGTCATTTCTAAGATTTCCAAAGAACAAAGAGGTGAGTGTCAGAATAGTAAACTGTGTTTTGACATGTTCCTTAACACAAGGTGCATTAAGTCTCGCAATTCTTCAGGAATTGTTAAGCAAACGCTGTTGGTGTACCATTTCTCTCTCCATGTCATTATGATCTCTCTCTTCCTCAGAACTGTTCTCTGAAAAAGTACATTATTTATATTTGGAATATTTTGTAAACGGTCTTCAACATGATTTAAAAAAAAAAAAGTTCTTGCAAAGCATTATTTTTAAGGAGAGAAATAAGAAGGTATTTAGAGAATGAAAATGTTTAACAAATTTAACAAAAGTTTATGATTTTGTGGCTTTTATTTCCAAATGGTTATTGCCAGGAAGCTGTAGCAGATTAAATGTTTGGCCATTAAAGCATGGTAACACAAGAAGAGAATGCATGTCTTTTTATACTGGTTAGTAGGGTAGTACTCAGACGGGAGGGTAATGGCAGAACCTTGATAATACCCCTATGTTATTTCAGCATTAGATGCTGTGCTGTGTAAGCCTTTGCAGCAACTCATACATAGCAAAACTGGTACTGCGTAAGGTCTTAACCATATTAATTTTTAATACAGGCAGAACTGGTGCTGAATCTCTGTATTGTTTTTAACTGGCAATGTTTTGAAATTATTGGAATGCTATAATATGTGCTAGGAGGATGGGTAATGGTTAAACAGCTCATGATGTGTGCAATGATGAGAGATGAAGGTTGTGAATCAGTACGGTATGGTGTATTTAATATCTCTGTTATGTTTGTGTATATTTGTGTACATTTGTGTAAGGTCAGAAACGTAAACTTGAAAGCATTTCCCTCCATCTGTAATACAATAATTCTAGGATGCTGCTTCTGCACAATTAAAATGTGCCAGCATAAAAAAAATCTCACATTCACCCACACAGATAAAGAGAGGTACAGGGGGATCAGCGTATTGAGAATTGAAAGCTAGCCCTGAAAGGGAGATGTGAAAGTTGTATGTAGGGAGGCTATAGAGTAGCATGGAATGAACCCCTAAGGAAGGCAATAAGGTTAACCTTAAGAAGTTATACTTGTGACTCCATTCTTTTCAGTATACATATAAGTATGTAATACATAATAATGTGGCATGTATTACCTACACTAGCTATTAAAATGCTATTAAGCACTGCAGGAGAAATAAGAAAGATAGACTTAATTTTAATTGAGCACACAAAAGTGCACACTGTTTTCTTTTATTTTTGTCATTTTTTTGCTGCAGTAGCTGATGCTTTATTTCTAACCTCAATACCTAGCTGAGATATAATCTCCATTCCTGCTTTCAATAAAAATACTGCTGATTTTTATAGAGCTAGTTTTGAGCGGCATCTTTTGTGTAGGAGACTACTGTCTTGTGCTGTAGAAAGTGTCATGCCATGTGTGTCTACTAGGGATCTTTGATACAGAAGATGCTGTTTGACCCAGAGCCTGTACCTCAAAGCTCTGCAGGCTTGGTTCTGCCCTCCTCCAAGTTGACTCCAGCTCTTTCTTTGGACCTCTAGAAAAGAATGTGACGTTTGATGCAATTCTTAAAACCAGTGATGCACATAAGGTGCTTAGGCTAGCACATCAGGTCATATGAAGTGTTAGTACATGCAAGCCCAGTGTCTGAAGAAGAATATTGAGATATGCATTTATTTAAGAAAAAAGAAAAAAAAAAATCAGAATGTCTATCCTCCAATAATTTAAGCATCCTTTGTTACATCTAGCTAATAAGACCAATCCTTCAAACACGTACTTGAGTATCATAATTTCTGTCAATATTCATTCCAGTTTTACAACTTACGTAAATAAGTAAAGTTTTTGGATCAAGTCCAATTCTAGTCTTTTCTAGACAGTGTCTTCTGTGATGTTTTGGAATACTATAGATAAATAATCCCATGTAATCTGTTAACATTCCTTAGTTCTCATGTTAGGGTCTATTTATTTCTTTATAGACACTTAAATAACCTTTGTTATATTTCTTGTGTATTTATAAAGTATATTTGCACTAAATAGCTCTGTAACACAACATAAAATTTAAAAATTGCAACTGTAGAATTAGATTTTGTAAATTCCCCTGTGATTTATAGGGTATAGCTTTGTTTTAAAAATCAAATTCAGTTTGGCTGGTGATTTTGTACAATATACTGATTGTCTAGCTCTTCAGCATATAAAGTGTTATCCAGCATAAATACTCCACTGAGTTTATCAAAGATGCAGGATCTAAAGTATCTTTGGTAAAAGCTTACAAGTTACATTTGTTATTCATAAGTAGCTCTGGAGTCTCTGTGTTGCTTTTTCCTCAGAGTTTGTAAGAAATGATCTCTCACAGGTAAATAGGACCTAGTCCTGCAGTCATTTTCTATTCAGAAAAGTATGCCATACCTCACCATAATGGCCTGAAAGGTGCTAGTGACTGACAAAAGATGTTTCATAGTCTTGTACTTGGGCTGGGTAGACTCTTTTTGTAACACTGATATGCCAGTATTTTGGGATTAAAAAAAAAATCCAAATAATTTATTTGGAAGTTGTATGTTGGGTTTTTTATTAGGTTTTTGTTTAATTTTATAAAAGATTATGTAAAACCATTAAATTAAATAGGAATACATGTACACAAAATGTAGGATGTTTTGCACAAAATGAGTGAAAAATATGCTTTCTGTTTTCAGCGGAACTTTCAGGTTTGCTCTTTATAGGAGATGCAATTCTACAGGTGAGTAAAATTGCAAGTTCTTTTGTTTATATTTTTCTAGAAAAGTGAAATGAAATCTATACTTATGAAATGTAGAGTAAGTCTTCTCTTTATCTTTTCAATAACAGATTAATGGAATTAATGTGAGAAAATGCAGGCATGAAGAAGTGGTGAGCTTTTCTGTTTTTTAGTCTACTTTTTGTCTTTTGTAGTTATTGAGATGGTAGTGTACACTGATAGCAATGCGCTGGTATCAGTTGTATTATTGTTATTCCTAAACAAACATGACTGTAGCTTCTAGCATGGCAAGCAACTAAGCTCTTAGTGCAATCTCTTCTTCATAAGTTTGTTGTAATTGCTCTTCTCAGATAGGCTTTTCTATATTAAAGGTGATTATTTTATTATGCAGATTTTAGCTGTACACATTCCAACATTTCTTCTTCTGGCTTATAGCTATCAAATTTCAACAGTGCTACACCTTTCTGGCCGTGTGAGGTCACTTTAATTTCAAAAGCTGTAATTTGCACTATGTTGGAGATTTGTTGTTTGGTTGGTTTTAATCCTATTTAAAAATTGAAACAAAACTGTTCGTCTGCTTTTTCATTCTCTGGCTGTTACTTATGAGGCTGCTCTCCTCCTTCAGTTAAGCTGTTATCAGTACGGGTTTAAAATAACAGTGTATTAAGGAGATTCCTTCTAGAGAAGCCATGTGTATTTGAGAGCTCTGTAGTAGGCTGGTTACCTTGGTAAGTCAGCTTTGCTAAAAGTATCATGTACTTTTGTTATATTTCACTTTTTGACTTTTCTTAAGTACTTTCAGAAATAGGAAACCCTGTATTTCAGAAAAGACTGCCAGAAATGATATTACCAAAGAAATTATCTTTAAATCCTGTGTAGCTCCACAGAATTTGTACCTGTATTTTTAAAATAATGTTATGTTATATTTGAAAGTTTCCTTTTCTAAAACTTACTTTTCCAGTTCAAAGATGCTCTATACTTCATACAGCATTCTGTTATATGACAGATCATTAAACATATGCCATTCAGGTATAGAAAGCAAGAGTTAATAAAGAGGAAGTTCTGATGAACAAATTGGTGCAGGCTGAAAGATTAGATCCCTGCACTCTTCATCCTCTCAGAGTGCTTTTGTGCACTGGTTTTGTGTTGGAAATTTGCTGCAAATCATGGTTCATTCTTCAGAGCCTTCGTCATACTACCTTCTGTATACATAGGCTAATAGTCATATTTATAGTGCTTTTAAGCTTTGGCTGTGCACAGTGATCAGATTTCAATCTTTTATAAGCTTACCACAGTTGTTTGGTTTAATATGTGTTAATATGGTAAATCTCTCAATGGGATTTAAATAAGCTGTTGGAATTTCAAGACATGAGAAAAAGATAGTGCTAAAAGTATAGACTTGCACACTCAAAGGCATATTGAAAACTGGTAAGAACACCAGGATTTTTTTTCTTTTTTTCTGAGGCAATCTCTTAACCATTACAATTATACATGAGTCTGTGGGCTATTTATGATCAGGTTTAAACACTTTCAAGGAAAGAAAAGAGATTTTGGAAAAGCCAAAAGGTACAGATTGACATAGAATAACAAGTGTCATCATGTTAAATTTTGTTTTGTGCATTGTTTGTCCAACATAATCTGTTTCTCAAACTCCTTATAGATAATTCTCTGTGAAGATAAAAAAAAAAAAAGTTTATCTTACCAGTTTTGAAAGTGCATTTGAATATGTGCAAGTGTTTTAGGAGTTTAAGAAGCAGATAAATTTTAAATTAAACCTTTATTCTAACTAAGAATAATTCTTAAGAATTAATAGTAAATATTGAGCAATATTTAAATAAGATAAAATGTCCATATGACATTTTATAAACTAAAATATGCAGAGGAGTTATAAATATAAAATATAAAATAAACATAAAACCCAAAGTAAATGAACTCATAATCTATTTTTTTCAGAAACATTCACTATCATACGTTATATATTTGTGGAGTAAATTTGTTGTAAAGACTGCTATTGTAATGATAGATATGGTTATGCATTGTGCAGTAATCTGTGGGTTTAGGCATAGCCCTGAGTAAAGGGCAAGTACATCAACTGGTCTGCCAGCAGGAGTTATAGGTGGGATTTTGTCTGCAGCATGCCCTTTGCAGTTTGAGTTGTTCTAGTATCATACGTTATATATTTGTGGAGTAAATTTGTTGTAAAGACTGCTATTGTAATGATAGATATGGTTATGCATTGTGCAGTAATCTGTGGGTTTAGGCATAGCCCTGAGTAAAGGGCAAGTACATCAACTGGTCTGCCAGCAGGAGTTATAGGTGGGATTTTGTCTGCAGCATGCCCTTTGCAGTTTGAGTTGTTCTAGCACTTCTCTCTTGCCGTGTCTTTATCAAATACAGGATTTGTAGCTCTAATCTCAAGGTAACAGAGAAAATAGGAAGTGTGTGGAGCATAGGTGCTCACTGCAGGGAGTCGAACAGTAGTGGAAACAATTTTAAATCCTTATTGCATCTAGGTACTTTTCAAATAGCTATGAAAGGTCCATGAGCTCAGAGTTTTGTCTCTTTCTGATTTTTTCTGTAACTAATTAAGACTTAGCAGGCATCTTATTATGTGAGAATATATTAGTGGTTTGGGTTGTCTTAATGTCTTAGAAAATATTAATTGTAAACCAGCGTGGAATGTTTTTTCAGTGTGCAAACCTGAAGATGCCCATGGGAAATTCAGACTTGTATCTGCAGTGTGCATTCTAAGAGTGTTCATTCTTTTTCTAGATCCAAAACTTCTTGCTGCTTGCAGAAACATTTTAAGCATTTGTCATATCTTCATAGCTCTGCAATGAAAAGACCTGTGGCATAATCACTGCAGCCTATTGTATTACACTGTTGATTATTTGGCCCTGGTATTTCACTGTGCTTTACTGATAACTACACTGCGCATATAAAATTATTTGAATTTCAAAATTAAGTAGTTTAATCAAATTAGTGCCATCTTTCATAGTAGGGAGAATCTTTCCCCAGTATATAGTGAACTTAGTTGGCTTAACTTGTGGGCACTCCTTTGTTGTATTTATTGTCTTCCATTAGCTATTAGATCTGGTGATATAGTATTCAGTAATGCACAGATCCTGTTACCCAAGAAACATACTACAATCTGAAGCCTGAATCTGACAAATAGATAGGTAGATAAGTAGGTAGGCAGATAGATGATTAGATAGATGGATAGATAGATAGATAGATATAGATAGATAGATAGATAGATAAAAGACTCTTATAAGACTGGATAGGTAGGTTTAGTCAGTTCTTAGTGTACCTTTCTGGAAGCCTCTACACAGTTCCTTTCTGATTTTTTTTAGCTTTAGGTGAATCACTTAATTTTGAGCTTAGTTTTCTGTTTGTAGAATGTAAGATTATTATTCATATCATGAAAGTACATTATGAGTTTCTATCAAAGGCTGAATGTCGGCTTGTTGTTTGTCTTGGGTTGTAAAGACTCCCATCTGAGTACAGCATAACATTGCTTCAGTCTTAGTGGTCTCCTATGGTAAAATAAATACATGCTCTCTGTGGTGAAGTATCAGCATGGGAAGATGTTGAGGAAAAAAAAATCTAGCAATTCTCTAAAAAATATCTCTCAACATCATACTGGCAATTTGACTCCAAAATGAAGTATGAACTTGAATGTGGAGGTAAGGAGAGTCCATTATATCTGTTAATTTACATGAGCTTGTGCTCTTTCTACTCTGGATTTATTAAGTATTCCTTTTCCAGTAGACTCTTCTTTACATTTTGCAACAAGACTTTTTAAAGGCTGAAATTAGGATTATGCATAGACAGACCTATGAATTTAGGCTTCTGTGTAATTAATACGGTCCAACAATGCATAGCTTGTCAATCCACACGCCTAGTCTTTTAAGGGCTCACAATGGATATGATTATTCATGAGGCTGGAAATTAATATATTTATAGTCTGGAAACTAATGTATCTGTAGCCCTTACCTCCATTTATTGTCCAAACATAAAACAAAGATAGATGGGCAATCACCAACATACATGTTGCATACATGTTGCGTACATGCAACATGTTCTTGTAGCACATGTGGACATATTTAGTGGTTCTGGGTCTAGCCACTACACCACTAACAATGGACAAAATTTTGGGAGAGGGTGAGAGGCCTTGCTGTGAGCTACTTCCCTTGAGCTACTACTGAGTGCCTCAGAGTAGAAGAGTACGATTCAACTCAGTTGAATACTACCAAAAATCTTGTGCTGGATCTACTGCTCTTACTGTTTCCAGGGTTCTAGTGCACCGAAGCATCTGGGACCCACAAAGAAGGAAGAATTTCAGTCAAATGAGTGCTGATATGTTTAAGATTATATCTCTGTTCTTAATGTTTTGAATAAAGCATCTCAGGTAGTACTAACAACTATGGTTACATATCACTGGGGTTTCTTTGGATCTTAGCATCTGTTTTTCTCTTAGGAAATAAAAATAGAATTAAATTAATATGGATATGAAATCACTTCTTATTTCTTGTAATTGGGGAAAATTCAGGGAATGTTTCTAATGAAAAATGATAGTTCATATCTGCCAGTTAATGTGGCATTCATGCATTCCTTGAAAAGCAACAGGAAAAGCTCATGTAGAGGTAGGTAGGTATCAAGACAGCACAGATATTTAGACTTTGGTGGATTTTATGTAGAGCTAGCTACAACGTGTAGCACCATGTTTCAGTTCAGCCATCAGCTGCGTTTTGGACAAGACATCTTTTTCCAGCAGAATGACCTGACATGGGATGTCCACGTGCACCTCGTTGTATCTTTTGCTTCCTCCTTTTCTCTGCATTCATAGCAGGGCTGTAACTGTGCTAGGTCTCCATGAGTCATATATGTTATATGAAACTGACAGTATAGGGATTGTAGTTGCTTAACTGCAATCATGTGCAGCAGATGAAACTCTTACTCTGACTCTTTGTTTTAAAACTGTGGTTTCGTTCAAGCTGATTTTTAAAACCCGTTATGAATAGTTTTGGTAATGCTTTTCGTAAATGTTTTTAAGCAGAAGAACGAGCATATTGTATTTGTAAGACAGGACTGGAAACCAAATGATCTGAAATCTCACTCCATCTTGACTTTGCAGATGTGTCTTTTGGTA